GCACACACACAAGCACACACACAAGCACACACACAAGCACGCACACAAGCACGCACACAAAGCACACACACAAGCACACACACAAGCACACACACAAGCACGCACACAAAGCACGCACACAAAGCACACACACAAGCACCCACACAAGCACGCACACAAGCACGCACACAAGCACGCACACAAAGCACACACACAAGCACACACACAAGTACACACACAAGTGCACACACACACAAGCACACACACACAAGCGCACACACAAGCACACACAAAGCACACACACAAGCACACACACACACAAGCACACACAAGCACACACACACACAAGCACACACACAAGCTCACACACACAAGCACACACACACAAGCACACACACAAGCACGCACATACACAAGCATACACACACACACAAGCATGCACACACACACACACACACACAAGCACACACACAAAGCACACACACACACACACAAGCGCACACACACACACATGCAGTGAATATGAATTATTACTGCTGTATAAAGTTGCTTATTTCAGGAGATAATGGGTGTTGTTATGCTGGTTGTTTATGCCTGGTACTAATTCACATGTTCTGTGCTTTTTTTTTTTCCTGTATGATTTTTGATGTTTGAATATTCTCTTGTTAGTTTTTATTTTTGCCATGTTTTATGTTCATATAATGCATCAAAAAATATTCACTGATGTAACCTGTAAAGTTATTTTCTTAGATTGTTAGACTCCGCTCTAATAATAGTTTTGAATAAAAATCGCTTCATTAAATAACATTTATTTCCATTAACCTTTCTGTAATATACTTGTAATTATTCTGTGATATTTTGAGTTTGCAATATTTCTCATGTTAAATCATTCTACAGTACTGTGCCTGTATGTTCATCTTTAACTAAAAAAAATTTGAACAATGTATTGCTTTTACTAAATGTAAAAAATTGTTGTATTGTTTTTAAATATTAGGGAAAATATTAATGATATGATTGTTACAGTACATTTGAATACAAATTTTAAATGTTGCAAAAATATATACATATGTATGTATGTAGGTGTATATATATTTACCTTTTTATTAACACATTGATCATTTCCTACCAAGGCAGGGTGACCCAAAAAGGTCTTAACTCACTTTATTGCTGTCTTGCCAGAGGTGTGCTGACACTGCAGTTCTAAAACTGTAACATATCTCCACACCTCCTTCAGAGTGCAGGCTTTGTACTTCCCACCTCCAGGACTCAAGTCCGGCTAACCAGTTTCCCTGCGTCCCTTCATAAATGTTACTTTGCTTATACTTCCAACAGCATATGAAGTCATGAAAACTGTTTGCCTCCACTCCTAACATGTTCAGTTGTGCCTTTTTTTGTTATTTATGTTCATGTGCACTTGTTGGAAGTCCAAGCCCCTTGCACACAAAACCTCCTTTACCACCTCCCTCCAACCTCTCCTGGGATGACCCCTATCCTGTCTTCCTTCCACTGCAGACTGATACATTCTTCAAGTCTCACTGTTTTGCTCCATCTTCTCTAAATGTCTGAATCATCTCAACAACCTGTCCTCAGCCCTCTGTATAATAATTTTATTAGTAACTCCGCACATCCCAATCTCCAAACTACGAATTCTCTGCATAATATTTACCCTGCATATTGCCCTCATACACGACATCTCCACTGCCTCCAGCCACCACCTGGCTGCAACATTCACAATCCATACTTCTTTCCCATATAAGAGTGTTGGTACCACTATACACTCATGCATACTCCTCTTTGCCTTCATGGATAATGTTGTTTGTCTCCACAGATAATGCACCACCCACTTTTTTCTCTTCATCAGTTCTGTGGGTTGCCTCATCTTTCATATACCCATTCACTGACATGTTAATCCCAAATATCTGAACACATTTGGTTTATCTATACTCCCTCCAATGTGATATCCAATTTTTTATTACCTAATTCATTTGATACCCTCATCATCTTATCTATGTTTACATTCAATTTCCTTTACACACTCTCCCAAACTCATCTACTAAACTTTGCAACTTCTCTTCAGAATCTCCCAATGTCATCAGAAATAAGTAACTGTGACAACTCCCACTTGTATTAGATTCTGCTTATTTTAATCCCACACCTCTTCCCAACACCCGAGCATTCACTTGTACAACCCCATCTATGAATATATTAACCATGGTGACATTATGCATCCCTGTTTAAGGCCTCTTTTTAGGTTGAAAGTAATCTCCCTTTCTTCTACATACCCTAACTGAGCCTCACTATCCTCATAAAAACTTTTAGCAGCATTCAGTAGCCTACCACTTATTCCATACACTTGCAAAATTTGCGACATTGCTTTCATGTCCACCCCCCCTTCCCCTCTCTTGAGAGAGTGTGGGGGTCAGCTCTTGAGAGGGGTCGCTCCCTGGGGGTTGGAGAAAAATTTCTCCACAATATCCCACCAAGGCAGGGCGGTCTAAAAAGAAAAACAATAATTTTTTTTTTTTTAAATTTATTAATTTATACAGAATGGGTTACTAGCCCCCTGCTTCTGGCATTTTAGTCGCCTCTTATAACATACATGGCTTACAGAGGAAGAATTCTTTTCCACTTCCCCATGGAGGCAAGAGAAAATTAAAGAAAACAAGAACTTGTAAGAAAATAGAAGAAAGCCCAGATGGGTGTGTAAATATATATTTGTGTACATGCATGTGTAGTGTGACCTAAGTGTAAGTAGAAGTAGCAAGACGTACCTGAAATCTTGCATGTTTAAGACAGAAAAAAAGACACAAGCAGTCCAACCATCATGTAAAACAAAGATTTCTGTTTCACACTCACTTGGCACGACAGTAGTACCTCCCTGGGTGGTTGCTGTCTACCATCCAGCTACCTAGAACCCTGTCATATACTTTTTCTAAATGCATAAAAGCAGTGATAGCTTCCTTACCTTTATCTAAATAGTGTTCACTTATATGCTTCAGTGTAAACACTTGCTACACATTCTTTCAATAATACCCTAATGCACGCAAGCACACATGTACATAAATACGTGTACTTTCACCATGGTTGTTTTGACATACTTATTGATGGGGTTGTAAAAGAAGTAAATGCTAGGCTGTTGGGAAGAGGGGTGGGATTTAATTATGCTGAATCAAATACAAAAATTACTTTTTTGCTGATGATACTGTACTTTTTGGGAGATTCTAAAGAGAAATTGCAAAGGTTAGTGGACGAGTTTGGGAGGGTGTGTAAAGGTAGAAAGTTGAAAGTGAACATAGATAAGAGTAAGGTAATGAGGGAATCAAACAAGTTAGGTAAAGAAAAATTGGATATCACATAGGAGGGAGGGAGTATGCAAGAAGTGGATGTGTTCAAATATTTGGGAGTAGACTTGTCAGCAGATGGGTTTATGAAGGGTGAGGGAAACAATAGAATTGGTGAGGGAAAAAGGATGGGTGGTCCATTGAGGTATCTGTGGAAACAAAAAACATTATCCATGAAGGCAAAGAAAGAAATGTTTGAGAGTATAGCAGTACCAGCACTCTTATATGGGTGTGAAGCATGGGTTGTAAATGCTGTAACAAATAAGAGGCTGGAGGCAGAGGAGATGTCGTGTCTAAGGACAACGTGTGGTGTAAATATTATGTAGAGAATTCATGGTGTGGAGATTAGGAGAAGGTGTGGCATTACTAAAAGTATTATTCAGATGGCTGAAGAGAGGTCATTGAGGTGGTTTGGTCATTCAGAGAGGATGGAGCAAAATAGGATGACTTGGAGGGTATGTAAGTCTGTAAGGGGGTAAAAGAAGTTTTGTGTGCAAGGGGCTTGGACATACAGCAGGCATGTGTGTGTGTGTTTGATAGGAGTGAATGGAGATGAATAGTTTTTGGGACTTGATGAGCTGTTGGAGTGCGAACAGAGTAATATTTTGTGAAGGGATTTAGGGAAACTGGTTAGCTGGACTTGGGAGGTGGGAAGTACAATGCCTGCACTGTAAAGGAGGAATTTGGGATATTGGCTGTTTGAAGTGACATCTGAACTTTTGTATATGGGCACCTCTGTAAAGACAGTGATTGTGTGTGAATGATGGTAAAAGTGTTAAATAATGGTGAAAGTGTTTCTTTTTTTAGGTCACCCTGCCTCAGTGGGAGCTGGCCAATGTGTTAAAAAAATATGTATAGAGGAATAGCCTCTTGAGTATACCAGGTAAAATAGAACTGATGAAGAAAGGTGGATAGTGCATTGAGGTATCTGTATGAGAGTATAGTGGTACCAGCACTCTTGTATGGGTGTGAAGCATGAGTTGTAAATGTTGCAGATAGGAGAAGGCTGAAGGCAGTGAAGATGTCCTGTCTGAGGGCAATATGTGGTGTAAATATTATGTAGAGAATTCATAGTTTGGAGATTAGGAAGAGGTGCAGAGTTACTAAAAGTATTATCCAGAGAGCTGAGGAGGGGTTGTTGAGATGGATTGGACATTTAGAAAGGATGGAGCAAAATAGGATGACTTGGAGGGTGTATAAAGCCACAGTAGAGGGAAGTTAGGGGAACTAGATAGTGGGTGTTAATTTGTAAGTTTTGATTGTCTTTGTACATTAATAAAATAATTTAATTATAGTGTGTGTGCATGCATATGGAAGCATGTGTGCATACATGCACATGTACATTCCTACTCCTGTTTGTGGTTGCAAGGGTTGAATTTCAGATCCTTTCTGTATATTTAGATTTGTCTGTGTATATAATTCTCCATGGGGAAGTGGAAAAGAATCCTTCCTCCTTAAACCATGCATGTCATAAGAGGCAGCTAAAGTTCCTGGGGCAAGGGGCTAGTAACCCCCTTCTCTTATATAAATTACTAAATGTGAAAAGAAGGAAAACTTGCCTTGCCTCGATGAGAGTCAGCCGATGTGTTAACAAAAAATGTATGTGATGTGTATGTGTAGTTGATGTATATATGTATAGTATGTATTTATATGTCTCATTGTTTCATTATTTCTTTTCAGCACGTCCAAGGAAAACATCTGAACATCCGCCCATCAGTTCCATCACCTCTCCTGACCGTATGGGCAGGTCCAGAAGCCGAGGTGGTGTATCTCAATCACAACGTAAGCATTCACTTTTTTGTATTATATTCATAATATTTCATATTTTGTTAATGCTAGAAATGGTTTAGTGATTGCAATACACCAAATTCTTTGATTTTTTGGGGATGCATTCATGAATAATGGTGCATGGATTTATCTCATGATCAAGGCCAACATAAAGTGGCATTGTAGGTGTTTCATTTTATCTTCCTTCTTATTGGCTAACTGTCATCAAAGAAGGAAATGCATTCACCATCACTCATTCAATAGCGTTCTTGCTAAATATGCATGGACATCAGAATTCAAATGTTAGTTTGTACCACTGCATTCTCACTTCTTTAGATTGCAGGATTGTACTTCTCACCTATGATCTGTATCCTTTAATTTGAAACTTGTTTATAGCTGGCAGCCGAAGTGGATCCCCTTCATCACGACTTAGTTATGCCACATACTCATCACCGGGAGACACTGGTACTTTAGGGCGTACTCGTCGCAGAAGTGGTATTCCACGCTCTACAGGTACATCACGAGAACCATCACCTAACCGTTACACTGGATTAAGTGGCATATCACCCTCCAAGTCACGCTCAAGATCTATCTCTGGTAAGTGCGTTCAACTAGGATGCATTTTGGTAATGGCAATTACAACTATTAATTTATTTAAGTATTGGTTGATATGAATAATAAATAAAGAACTCAGCTTTACTAATTAAATGAGATCGTAAAGTTTGTGCCATGTACTGTATAATTTTCTTCAATGTTGTTTGTACAGTAAAAGCTTCTGTATTTCAGCAGATATGCTCCTGAAAAACGGTATTGCATTATTACGTGTATTGTGAAGTTTAACACACTCAAAGCTTGTTGCATATTCAAGTCCCTGATACTCTAAATCTCCTTTAGCCCTTCCCTTCAGCCCTCTTGGGATGGCATTCTAAACCAGAAGTTCCTTAAAAATATAATTTAAATCCTGTGGTTTTAATTGCAATTATTTATTGGACAGTGCCATGAACCTTCTGTTTCTCTTGCTCTTTTATATAAAATTAACCTGATAATTGGTTTAGGTAGTACTTACTATTAAAACTCTTCTAAGACCTTTTAATTTTGTTTTATACTTGGTGCCAGTGTTTCTCTAATTATTTCATTCAAAATATAACAATGAATCCTTTCTTCACCTTTATGGTACATATTTGCACACTATACAGGAGGGCCCTGTATATACACCTCTCACGTTTTGGTGTTCTATGTTTTTATTGGTTTTAAATTGAGGCATTGTTCATTATGTTCAGATCTTTTACTGCTTTTCCACTGTTATTGCTGAATGGCATATTTTAAGGTAAATATTGTGCGTACTGTGTATATATTTATTTTACTTCTGAATTTTTATGCCTAGCTTTATTGAGCACTTAATATATCATAGTGTAAACATGTTATCAGGCATTTTAGATGCATTTGATAGTAAAAAACACTTTTCCACCTGCTGGCAATTTTTACTTATTGTTTGGGGTCAACAGCATTAGGAGCCTCATGAACGGGGCCCACCTGTAGCTTTAATTTTTTTTTTTATGTTGAATAGGGATAACTACAGATGCGCCATCACAAATCTGGCAATCAGTTATTCGGTTCCTTCGGTTATTCGGCACTAATTTTGGCTAGCATAATTTCAAATTTCCAGGGTCGCCACACCAACCTGCTGGTACTGTTTGGTGGTGCTACTTGCTGCATAAGTCATTCCAATTTCTTTTTCTCCATTTACTGTTTTAACCTGCTTACTTTTAGCCCTAGCCATGGTTCCAATGAATAAAAGAAATGCTTCTCATTATGTAAAGCACCTACACAGTATATTATCCATTAAAGATAAGGTGGCTTTGAAGCCACTGTCGGTTGCCATGAGCTCAGTCTCATGAAGCAGGAGAATATGCTTTATTATTACGCTAATATCAACACTATAGCTATTTGTCTATCACAATTGATCTAATATGACATAAACAATATAAATAACATAAAACATGTTAAATACTCCAGAATGAATAATATTTGGCATAATACCGAGCAGTTCGACAGAGGTATGAAGAGGATATGGTATACAAATACCATTCTCCTATCCCTGTCTTGGTGGATTATATTAGAGAAAACAGAGTGTAGCACAGGGCTAACTGTGATATACACTCATACTCCACCATAAACATGAAACAAAAAGGTTATTTTCACTCTATAGATTATCACACATAGCAGCATGTGTAGAGAATCTAGGATAACCCAAAAAAAGTCAACGTGGCTTATTTTTAGTACCTGGCTTGGGTTAGCCATATATGATTTTTGGTAAATATTCGATTCCCAGCCAGGGTAGAAACATTAGGCGTGTTTCTTTACACCTGTAGTCTATGTTTACCCATTAGTAAATGGGTACCTGGGTGTTAGTTGATTAGTGTGGGTGTTATCCTGGGACACTGACCTAATTTTCTTGAAATTTTCTGCATAACCAGCGGCTTTCTATATAGTAGTAGTATGTCACTGATGTCAGCTAGGCCTTTATACATTGTACATGTACGTGTAATAAATAAAGCTATTATTATTATTTTTTTATTATTTTTTTTTTTATTAACACACTGGCCGATTCCCACCAAGGCAGGGTGGCCCGAAAAAGAAAAACTTTCACCATCATTCACTCCATTACTGTCTTGCCAGAAGTGTGCTTCACACTACAGTTTTTAAACTGTAACATTAACACCCCTCCTTCAGAGTACAGGCACTGTACTTCCTATCTCCAGGACTCAAGTCCGGCCTGTCGGCTTCCCTGAACCCCTTCGTAAATGTTACTTTGCTCACACTCCAACAACACGTCAAGTATTAAAAACCATTTGTCTCCATTCACTCCTATCAAACAAGCTCACGCATGCCTGCTGGAAGTCCAAGCCCCTCGCACACAAAGCCTACTGTACCCCCTCCCTCCAACCTTTCCTAGGCCAACCCCAACCCCGCCTTCCTTCCACTACAGACTGATACACTCTTGAAGTCATTCTGTTTCACTCCATTCTCTCTACATGTCCGAACTACCTCAACAACCCTTCCTCAGCTCTCTGGACAACAGTTTTGGTAATCCTGCACCTCCTCCTAACTTCCAAACTACGAATTCTCTGCATTATATTCACACCACACATTGCCCTCAGACATGACATCTCCACTGCCTCCAGCCTTCTCCTCGCTGCAACATTCATCACCCATGCTTCACACCCATATAAGAGCATTGGTAAAACTATACTCTCATACATTCCCCTCTTTGCCTCCAAGGACAAAGTTCTTTGTCTCCACAGACTCCTAAGTGCACCGCTCACCCTTTTCCCCTCATCAATTCTATGATTCACCTCATCTTTCATAGACCCATCCGCTGACACGTCCACTCCCGAATATCTGAATACGTTCACCTCCTCCATACTCTTTCCCTCCAATCTGATATCCAATCTTTCATCACCTAATCTTTTTGTTATCCTCATAACCTTACTCTTTCCTGTATTCACTTTTAATTTTCTTCTTTTGCATACCCTACCAAATTCATCCACCAACCTCTGCAACTTCTCTTCAGAATCTCCCAAGAGCACAGTATCATCAGCAAAGAGCAACTGTGACAACTCCCACTTTGTGTGATTCTTTATCTTTTAACTCCACGCCTCTTGCCAAGACCCTCGCATTTACTTCTCTTACAACCCCATCTATAAATATATTAAACAACCACGGAGACATCACACATCCTTGTCTAAGGCCTACTTTTACTGGGAAATAATCTCCCTGTTTCCTACATACTCTAACTTGAGCCTCACTATCCTCGTAAAAACTCTTCACTGCTTTCAGTAACCTACCTCCTACACCATACACCTGCAACATCTGCCACATTGCCCCCCTATCCACCCTGTCATACGCCTTTTCCAAATCCATAAATGCCACAAAAACCTCTTTAGCCTTAACTAAATACTGTTCCCTTATATGTTTCACTGTAAACACCTGGTCCACACCCCCTACCTTTCCTAAAGCCTCCTTGTTAATCTGCTATCCTATTCTCCGTCTTACTCTTAATTCTTTCAATAATAACTCTACCATACACTTTACCAGGTATACTCAACAGACTTACCCCCTATAATTTTTGCACTCTCTTTTGTCCCCTTTGCCTTTATACAAAGGAACTATGCATGCTCTCTGCCAATCCCTAGGTACCTTACCCTCTTCCATACATTTATTAAATAATTGCACCAACCACTCCAAAACTATATCCCCACCTGCTTTTAACATTTCTATCTTTATCCCATCAATCCCGGCTGCCTTACCCCCCTCTCATTTTACCTACTGCCTCACGAACTTCCCCCACACTCACAACTGGCTCTTCCTCACTCCTACAAGATGTTATTCCTCCTTGCCCTATACACGAAATCACAGATTCCCTATTTTCATCAACATTTAACAATTCTTCTAAATATTTTCTCCATCTTCCCAATACCTCTAACTCTCCATTTAATAACTCTCCTCTCCTATTTTTAACTGACAAATCCATTTGTTCTCTAGGCTTCCTTAACTTGTTAATCTCACTCCAAAACTTTTTCTTATTTTCAACAAAATTTGTTGATAACAGCTCACCCACTCTCTCATTTGCTCTCTTTTTACATTGCTTCACCACTCTCTTAACCTCTCTCTTTTTCTCCATATACTCTTCCCTCCTTGCATCACTTCTACTTTGTAAAAACTTCTCATATGCTAACTTTTTCTCCCTTACTACTCTCTTTACATCATTCCACCAATCGCTCCTCTTCCCTCCCGCACCCACTTTGCTGTAACCACAAACTTCTGCTGAACACTCTAACACTACATTTTTAAACCTACCCCATACCTCTTCGACCCCATTGCCTATGCTCTCATTAGCCCATCTATCCTCCAATAGCTGTTTATATCTTACCCTAACTGCCTCCTCTTTTAGTTTATAAACCTTCACCTCTCTCCTCTCTGATGCTTCTATTCTCCTTGTATCCCATCTACCTTTTACTCTCAATGTAGCTACAACTAGAAAGTGATCTGATATATCTGTGGCCCCTCTATAAATATGTACATCCTGAAGTCTACTCAACAGTCTTTTATCTACCAATACATAATCCAACAAACTACTGTCATTTTGCCCTCCATCATATCTTTTATACTTATTTATCCCCTTTTTCTTAAAATATGTATTACCTATAACTAAACCCCTTTCTATACAAAGTTCAATCAAAGGGCTCCCATTATCATTTACACCTGGCACCCCAAACTTACCTACCACACCCTCTCTAAAAGTTTCTCCTACTTTAGCATTCAGATCCCCTACCACAATTACTCTCACTTGGTTCAAAGGTTCCTATACATTCACTTAACATCTCCCAAAATCTCTCTCTCTCCTCTTACATTCCTCTCTCTCCATGTGCATACACGCTTATTATGACCCACTTTTCGCATCCAACCTTTACTTTAATCCACATAATCTTTGAATTTACACATTGATATTCTCTTTTCTCCTTCCATAACTGATCATTCAACATTACTGCTACCCCTTCCTTCGCTCTAACTCTCTCAGATACTCCAGATTTAATCCCATTTATTTCCCCCCACCGAAACTCCCCTACCCCCTTCAGCTTTGTTTCACTTAGGGCCAGGACATCCAACTTCTTTTCATTCATAACATCAGCAATCATCTGTTTCTTGTCATCTGCACTACATCCACGCACATTCAAGCATCCCAGTTTTATAAAGTATTTATTATTATTATTATTATTATTATTATTATTATTATTATTATTATATTATTTTCTCAGTTGTTTGTTGGGTTATCTTATTCAAACTTGGGCAATGTATGATGGAAAGATACTTCTTCACGTACACCAAAAATGAAAGAAATCAGACCATAAATAGTGGAGTTCACTTCTCAGCCATTAGCGGTTGCTTATCGGTATATTTTTGTATGGTTGTTATGGTTATAGTCTCATTTTTTCGGTCTCATTTGATAGAATGAAAGATATATTAAAGAAATAGATATGATTTTGATTGCTTTCATGACGAAAAGTACCTTGAAATTGTGCTCACAGTAGCGAAAATGTTCTATTTAGCGAAGCTCAAGAGTAAACAAATGACGTCACCGTCCAATACCTGTCCGCCTGCCAGTCCAGTACGGAGTGAAGAATGGCTTGACATTATTTATACAATTATTACAATAATGCAGCAGTCTGCATAACAGTAAATCTTCTATTTTTTTTGTGAATAAAACTTCCAAATGAAAAGCAAGAGTGATATAAGAGGGGCATGTAGCCGTGACTAATGAACAAAGAAACTGTTATTTTAGTGCCAGGAATGTCTGCATTGTTTATTCTGGATCTTATTTTGAAATTGGCATCTGTTGAAATTTGTGTGAAATCGTCCAAATTGCCAATTTCTGACCACTTTATTGGGTATTTGAAATAAGTGACTGGGAGGTTTCTTGTACTCAGTCGACAGACTAGAAGTAAGTAAATAAGTAAGTTTATTCAGGTAAAGTGCAAAAATTATAGGGGGATAAGTCTGTTGAGTATACCTGGTAAAGTGTATGGTAGAGTTATTATTGAAAGAATTAAGAGTAAGACCGAGAATAGGATAGCAGATGAACAAGGATGCTTTAGGAAAGGTAGGGGGTGTGTGGACCAGGTGTTTACAGTGAAACATATAAGTGATCAGTATTTAGATATTTAGAGGTCTTTGTGGCACATATGGATTTGTAAAAGGCGTATGACAGGGTGGATAGGGGGGCAATGTGGCAGATGTTGCAGGTGTATGGTGTAGGAGGTAGGTTACTGAAAGCAGTGAAGAGTTTTTACGAGGATAGTGAGGCTCAAGTTAGAGTATGTAGGAAAGAGGGAAATTATTTCCCAGTAAAAGTAGGCTTTAGACAAGGATGTGTGATGTCACTTTGGTTGTTTAATATATTTATAGATGGGGTTGTAAGAGAAGTAAATGCGAGGGTCTTGGCAAGAGGCATGCAGTTAAAAGATAAAGAATCACACATAAAGTGGGAGTTGTCACAGTTGCTCTTTGCTGATGACACTGTGCTCTTGGGAGATTCTGAAGAGAAGTTGCAGAGATTGGTGGATGAATTTGGTAGGGTGTGCAAAAGAAGAAAATTAAAAGTGAATACAGGAAAGAGTAAGGTTATGAGGATAAAAAGATTAGGTGATGAAAGATTGGATATCAGATTGGAGGGAGGGAGGTGAATGTATTCAGATATTTGGGAGTGGACGTGTCAGCGGATGGGTCTATGAAAGATGAGGTGAATCATAGAATTGATGAGGGGGAAAAGGGTGAGTGGTGCACTTAGGAGTCTGTGGAGACAAAGAACTTTGTCCTTGGAGGCAAAGAGGGGAATGTATGAGAGTATAGTTTTACCAACGCTCTTATATGGGTGTGAAGCATGGGTGATGAATGTTGCAGCGAGGAGAAGGCTGGAGGCAGTAGAGATGTCATGTCTGAGGGCAATGTGTGGTGTGAATATAATGCAGAGAATTCGTAGTTTGGAAGTTAGGAGGAGGTGCGGGATTACCAAAACTGTTGTCCAGAGGGCTGAGGAAGGGTTGTTGAGGTGGTTCGGACATGTAGAGAGAATGGAGCGAAACAGAGTGACTTCAAGAGTGTATCAGTCTGTAGTGGAAGGAAGGCGGGGTAGGGGTCGGCCTAGGAAAGGTTGGAGGGAGGGGGTAAAGGAGGTTTTGTGTGCGAGGGGCTTGGACTTCCAGTAGGCATGCGTGAGCGTGTTTGATAGGAGTGAATGGAGACAAATGGTTTTTAATACTTGATGTGTTGTTGGAGTGTGAGCAAAGTAACATTTATGAAGGGGTTCAGGGAAACCAGCAGGCCGGACTTGAGTCCTGGAGATGGGAAGTACAGTGCCTGTACTCTGAAGGAGGGGTGTTAATGTTGCAGTTTAAAAACTAGTGTAAAGCACCCTTCTGGCAAGACAGTGATGGAGTGAATGATGGTGAAAGTTTTTCTTTTTCGGGCTACCCTGCCTTGGTGGGAATCGGCCAGTGTGATAATAAGAATAATAATAATTCAGGTATACACAAATACAGTTACATAGATTATCATGCATAGCAGTGTATGTATAGAGAACCTAGGATAACCCAGAAAAGTCAGACAAAGTGACTTATTTCCAGTACCTGGCTTGGGCTTGCCATATATGATTTTTGGGAAATATTTTTTTTTCTTGGTTGTTTGTTGGGCTCTCTCATTGAAACTTGGGCAATGTATGATGGAAAGATGCTTCTTAACGTACAACAAAAATAAGAAAGATGGACGATAAATATGGGAGTTAACTTCTCGGCCATTAGCTGCCTCTTTGTAGTATATTTTCATATGACTTTTATGGTTGTATTCTCATTTTTTTGGACTCATTTGATAGAATGGAAGATATATTACAGAAATAGACATGATTTTGATTGCTTTCATGATGAAAAGTACCTTGAAATTGAGCTCAAAGTAGCAGAAATGTTCGATTTTTGCCGATGTTCAATGAACTGTGTAAGTCAAGTTGGTTCATTTTATTAAGTGTATTCTAACCTAACCACTCTGTAATCTGGCAGACTCAGTAATCCGGCACACTACAGGTCCCAATGATGCCGGATTTGTGATGGAGGACCTGTATAACTTCAGTATATCCGTTACTACATTTAACGGTTGTACCCAAGCAACCTGGCCTGAGGCTAGACTTTCTTGACTGTCTGGTCAACCAGGCTGTTGCTGCTAGTGACCTGTATACCTATAAAGCCTATTACAACTTGGTTCATAAGCCTTTTAACCCTTAAACTGTCCAAACATAGATCTACGTTTGCACGCGTAGCGCTCCAACCTTGATTTTCTCCTTAAGAAAGAATGTAAAAAAAACATATATCTACGTTCAGAGCACTTTGTGAGCGAACTTAGATCTACGTTTGGACAATTAGAGGGTTAAAACTATAATAAAGGGATATCAGCTGTGGTAATAATATCAGGACTTGTATTTTTTCAGGTGCATCTGAAATGCCTCCCCAGGTACCAGGGAAATCAAGACAAGTGATGGCTCAGAAGATTTTACAGCAGAGTCGTGAAGCAGAGAGTGCGTTAGCAGATGCTCTAGTTAGTCTGCCACCGGGAGGAGTCCTTGTGAGTACCAGTCCAGGGTACAAGTGTCTACATGTAGGTAAACAACTTAAAAGTGATAACTGCTGCTGCTATTATGTATAGTATAAATGAATGTATTTCTTTCAGGCTTTCAGTGGGTTTTGCATCAATGTATTGTACAAGTTTATGGCTTTTCATGTCTAATTTAGAGCATTTTTTTTAATGTTCTCTGTTCACACTGCTCACTTGCATCATGTTTTAAAATAATATTACAGTGGTTGCTCAATTATCCAAATTATATTTAGCAGAATCTCATCTGTATACAAAGTTGTCTGGTTAATAGAAATTTACCACATCTTCAACAAATAACCATATAACCAGTTTCAGTATATTTGGTTTAGTATGTATGGTGTGCAGTGGTGGATCCTCAGCAGTGATGTTTTTGGTGTTGGCTAAGATTTAAGACTGATTTTAGCATCTTTTTCTCTCAGCACAGTATGCTGCTCTTAAACTATTTAATATTTTTAAATGCATTGAAATTATTTGAAATCCATGAAGTATTAATTAAAAAACAGATTTTTGTTAGGCTCAAAGACGTGATATTATTCAGCTGCAGTATCTGTAAGAAATATTGTCGTAAATATTATTTTTGAAAATTAATTTATGTAGATTTAGAAAATGCATTTGATAAGATAGTTGGAGAAGATGTGGCAAATGTATGAAATTGGAGGTGGGTTACAGTATTAAAAGTGGTTTAAGTATTTATGCAGAAAGGGAGGCTTATTTTAAGGTATGGAGGAGGAATAAGGGCTGTGTCAAAGCAGTAGTAGGACTTAGGGATGTGTGACATCACCATGGTTGTTGAACAACATATTGATGGATGGGGATATAAAAAACAGAGAGAATACTAGAGTTATAGGGCATAAAAGATAGATCTGATATAAAGTGGAAGGTATCACAGTTGCAATTTCCTGATGACAGTTCTCTTGGGGATTCTAAAGACAAGTTCCAGTGATTGGTGGACAAATTTGAGAGGGTATGTAAAAGAAGGAAATTAAAGGGAGCATAGAAAAGAGCAAGGTGATGATTGTAACAAGTAGCCTAGGCAATGATAGATTGAATATCAGATTGTAGGGAGGGAGTATGGAGGAAGTGGATGTATTTAGATATTTTGGAGAGGACTTATGAGCAGATGGGTGTATAAAAGATGAGGTGAACCGTGGAATAGATGAGGGAATAAAGGGAGATTGTGTATTGAGGCACCTTTTAGAAAGAAAAAAAGTTAATGGCAGAAAAAGAAGAGAATGTATGAGAGTACAATGGTACCAACACTAAAAGTGTTCAGAGAGCTGAGGAAGGGTTGTTGAGATAGGTTGGACATTTTGAGAGGATGGAACAAAATAGAATGACTTGGAGGGTGTATAAATCTGTTGCAGAAGGAAGGCAGAGTAGGGGTCGTCCTAGGAAAGAATGGAGGGAGGTGGTAAAGGAGGTTTTGTGTGCAAGGGGCTTGGACATAAAACAGGCATGTGTGAGCATGTTTGATAGGAGTTAGTGGAGATGAAGGGTTCTTGGGACTTGACGAGCTATTGGAGTGTAAGCAGGGTAATATTTTGTGAAGGGATTCAGGGAAACTGGGCAGCCACACTTGAGTCCTGGAGGTGGGAAGTACAATGCCTGCACTTCAAAGATGGGGTTTGGGATGTTTGCAGTTTAGAGTGACATCTAAACTGTCATATCTGCATGCCTCTGGCAAGACAGTGATAGTGTGAATGATGATGAAAATGTTTCTTTTTCAGGTCACCTTGCCTCGGTGCGAGATGGCCACTATGTTAAAAAAAATAAATGTTAAAATTTCCAACTTTCTAAAAACTAGGGCTTTGACTTGTAGACTGGGCATAAACTGGCTAAAATGACTAAATAAGTCTGTGCCACTTTCTTCAAGTTTAAGGATTATGTTTAAATCTCTTAAAAACACTATTATTGTATTTATTTGTGCTCTTTGTTGATGTTGCTGAGCATTACTCTCAAAATAATAATGACAAAATTGCAAACGAACCACGGTACTGGTGGGGATTGAACTCATGGCAAGTGAGTCGTAAAACTCCAGGCCAGCGTGTAAGCCACTGGGCCAGCTGGCTACAAGAAGATTCATCCAGTTAGGTATATTTATACATCATAGGGAGGCTAGCATGGGTCCCACTGTGACTACACATGCAAGTTTTTACGCATGAATCTCGCACCAACGTGGCTGTGAAGAATTCTAGCAAAAGTCTACTCAAAGCTGTCGTTATTACTCACAAAATCGCAACAACACAATTGCAAACAAACCATTGTAAAAACTTGCATTTGTGGTCACATTGGGGCCCATTTTGGTAGATGGATCTATAACTGCATAAAAAATAGAAAACAAAGAGTAATAGTAAACAGAATAAAGTCTGAGGCAATGTCAGTGAAAAGCTCTGTTTCACAAGGCACAGTACTTGCCCCCATCCTGTTCCTCATCCTCATATCTGACATAGACAGAGATGTAAGCCACAGCACCGTGTTTTCCCTGTGGATGACACCTGAATTTGCATGACAGTGTCGTCCGTCGAAGACTGCAAGATTCAAAGTGGACATCAACCAAATCTTTACGTGGGCTGCAGAAAACAACGTGAAGTTCAATGAAGAAAAATTTCAGTTACTCTGATGTGGAAAATGTGAGGAAATTAAAACTCTATCAGAGTATAAAACAAATTCCAACCATACAATAGTGAAAAACTAATGTGAAAATCCTGGGAGTGATAATGCCAGAGGATCTCACTTTAAAAGACCACAATAACGTAAATACCACATCTACTAGAAAAATGATAGGATGGATAATGAGAATCTTCAAAACTAGGGAGGCCAAGCCCATGATGATTCTCTTCAAATTGCTTATTCTTTCTAGGCTGGAATACTGCTGTACACTAACTGCCGCTTTCAAGGCAGGCAAAATTGCTGACCTGGGGAATGTACAAAGAACCTTATTGGCACATACATGTATGCTAAAGCACCTAAATTACTGGGAATGGTTGAAGTCCCTTGATTTGTATTCCTTGGAATGCAGACGAAAAAGATACATAATATACACTTGGAAAATTTTAGAGGGATTAGTACCAAATTTGAACATGAAAATGACTCCCTACGAAAGGAAAAGACACAGCAGGAGATGTAAAATCTCCCAGTAAAAAGCAGGGTCATCATGAATACACTAAAAGATAACACAATAAGTGTCGGGGGGGCCCAAGACTGTTCAACTGCCTCGCACCATACATAAGGGGGATTACCAGTAGACATTCACCAGAGGCTTAGTCATAGACAAGGCCGCGGGGGTGTTGATTCCCGAAACCCTCTTCAGGTATACTCCAAGTATGCTAACCTCCCTGTGATGTATAAATATATGTACAGTGGACCCCCGGTTAACGATTTTAATCCGTGCAAGAGGGGTAATTGTTATGCGAAATAATCGTTATGTGAATGAATTTTCCCCATAAGAAATAATGGAAATAAAATTAATCCGTGCAAGACACCCAAAAGTATGAAAAAAAAAATTTTTTACCACATGAAATGTTAATTTTAATACACACAAACTGAAAAAGGCATGCACACTTACATGACACTTACTTTTATTGAAGATCTGGTGATGATTGATGGGATGGGAGGAGGGGAGAGAGAGTGTTAGTGTTTAGAAGGGGAATCCCCTTCCATTAGGACTTGAGGTAGCAAGTCCTTTTCTGGGGTTACTTCCCTTCTTCTTTTAATGCCACTAGGGCCAGCTTCAGAGTCACTGGACGACTTTCGCACAAGATATCTGTCCATAGTGGCCTGTACCTCTCGTTCCTTTATGACTTGCCTAAAGTGTTTCACAACATTGTCAGTGTAATAATCACCAGCACGGCTTGCAATAGCTGTGTGAGGGTGATTTTCATCCATGAAGGTTTGCACTTCAAGCCACTTTGCACAGATTTCCTTAATCTTTGTAGTAGGCAACTTCTTCAATTTCTCTCTCCCCTCCTCTGAACCAGTTTCCCAGGTCTGGCCTCTTGCTCTTGAAGTTGATCTATCAGCTCATCAGTGGTTAGTTCTTCATTGTCCTCCTCCACCAACTCTTCCACATCCTCCCCACTAACCTCCAACCCCAAGGACTTTCCCAATGCCACAATGGATTCCTCAACTGGCATAATCATCTCAGGGTTAGCCTCAAACCCTTCAAAATCCCTTTTGTCTACACATTCTGGCCACAGTTTCTTCCAAGCAGAGTTCAAGGTCTTCTTAGTCACTCCCTCCCAAGCCTTACCTATAAGGTTTACACAATTGAGGATATTAAAGTGATCTCTCCAAAACTCTCTTAGAGTCAGTTGAGTTTCTGAGGTCACTACAAAGCACCTTTCAAACAGAGCTTTTGTGTACAGTTTCTTGAAGTTGGAAATAACCTGCTGGTCCATGGGCTGCAGGAGAGGAGTGGTATTAGGAGGCAAAAACTTCACCATAAAGTCGCTCTGCCACGTCTGTAGGATGACCAGGGGCATTGTCTAACACCAGGAGGCACTTAAGTTCTAATTTCTTTTCAGTTAGGTAATCTTTCACATTGGGGGCAAATGCATGGTGTAACCAGTTATAGAAAAATTCCCTAGTGACCCATGCCTTACTGTTTGCCCTCCACAGCACACACAAATTATCCTTGAGGACATTCTTTTGCCTGAACGGTCTGGGAGTTTCAGAGTGATACACTAATAAAGGCTTCACTTTGCAATCACCAGTAGCATTGGCACACATGAGAAGAGTAAGCCTGTCTTTCATAGGCTTATGTCCTGGGAGTGCCTTTTCCTCCTGAGTAATGTAGGTCCTGCTTGGCATTTTCTTCCAGAACAGGCCTGTTTCATCACAATTAAACACTTGTTCAGGTTTCAGTCCTTCACTGTCTATGTACTCCTTGAATTCCTGCACATATTTTTCAGCCGCTTTGTGGTCCGAACTGGCAGCCTCACCATGCCTTATCACACTATGGATGCCACTACGCTTCTTAAATCTCTCAAACCAACCTTTGCTGG